AGAAAAACCTAAAGATTAAGGGTTTTCGGGTTGTCCGAGTTCGCAGTTTAATGATCCCGAAACCTTTGTGGGTAGACCGGGGAAGCACCAAACTGAATTTACAGTTTGCTACACAAACGCCCGCAGCCTGTTAAATAAACGGAATGAGCTGGTTAACATGATAGAAACCGGAAACCCGGATGTAATTATTATCACAGAGACATGGCTCACACACGATGTTACTGACAACGAAGTTAACCTGCCAAACTTCGAAGTGCATAGGGTGGACCGACTAAACCGCAAAGGAGGTGGCGTAGTCATCTACCTCAAGAAAGGCTTAACCGTGCGTAGTATCGAAGCACTCACCCACGAAAGTGAATCCTGCGAACTTCTATGCTGCAGACTTAAATGCATGGACCGAGATAGTGACGTTGTTGCTATACACCACAGTCCTGGCTGCAGTGCAGATGACTTCCTTATAGAGAAGCTAGGCTCCTGGACTTCGAAATGTCGAAGTCTCGTAGTCGGCGACTTCAACGCCCCAACAGTTGACTGGTTGCGCCTAACAACTCCATCTTCAGTCAACTCCTTTGACCATAAACTGCTGGAATCTAGTATATGGCTAGCCCTAGTCCAACAAATCATTAAGCCCACGCACTATGACTCTTAGCACTCCTCGTCAACTCTGAACCTAGTGTTCTCCAACGGTGAGGATGTGGATCTCATACAACATCTTCCTCCTTTAGGAAGAAGTGACCATGCTGTACTCACTTTCAAGTTCATAGCAACGGCAGCAACGGCCAAAACCATAGCTCGACCAATCGTTTGGAAAGCTGATATAAATGCGATCGTCTCGGCAGCCAACTCGGTAAACTGGTACATCAACCCAGAGTCCCAAGTAGAAACCACATGGAACCAAGTTAAACAACTTTACGCCCAAGTAACTGAACCTTTTATCCCTTGGTCTGTCCCAAAGGGTCGGAAACATTCCCCCCCTTGGATAAACCGGGAGATTCGTAATTTACTCAGACGTAAACACAAATGTTGGAACCTGTTTGCCACACTTGAGACTTCTGAGACCAGGGAATTATATACTACTGCTAGAAATAAAGCTATTGTAGAAATCCGACAATCAAGGATGAAGTTCGAGGCGCATCTGGCTCAAAATGCAAAGGCACAACCTAAGAAAATTTTCTCGTACTTGAATTTCAGGAATAAAACATCCAATGGTGTCCCAAACCTGATTATTGACAAAGATACAATCGAAGAAGATCAAGAAAAAGCAGAAGCAATGGCAAACTACTTCTCCCAAGTCTTCACTCAGGAATCATCACTGCCTACAGAATCAGCTCTGGCTGCATCAAAAGAACATGGGATAGATTTCGTTGACATCGACCAAGGCATCGTGCTCAACTGCTTAATGGAACTAGGTGCAGGAAATCAATGGGTCCTGATAATCTTCATCCAAGGCTTCTAAAGGAGCTATCAGCCCAAATAGCCGGCCCCTTTGAACGCGATCTTCAAGCTATCTCTCCTAAATGGAGTGCTAGGGCGTGATTGAAAAGACGCCATATTAACCCCCAACTACAAAGGAGGATCAAGACAAAGCCCTTCAAGTTAAAGGCCTATCAGTCTCACCAGCATTTTAATCAAGACACTGGAAAGAATTATCAAGAAAAGCATCATGGCTTATCTGGAAAATAGCAGCTTGTTATCTGGAGCACAGCATGGCTTCCAGAGGAACCTCTCATGCCTGTCAAATCTCCTCACTGCAAGAGAAGGCTAGGTCAAATCAAAGGACAACAGAAGACCCGTTGACGTCGTCTTCATAGACTTCAGTAAAGCCTTTGATAAAGTACCTCACAAAAGACTACTCATGAAATTGGAAAGTCTTGGTGTCAAAGGCAGACTACTAGACTGGCTCAGGGAATTCCTCATAGATAGGAGGCAGAGGGTAAGGATAAACTCGAAACTCTCCTCTTGGACAGCAGTACGTAGCGGAGTGCCACAAGGCACGGTACTCGGACCTCTCCTATTTATTTTTTACATCAATGAGTTATTTCTGCTCACCGACTCCCCTATGGTCTTATACGCAGATGACTTGAAAATTTGGAGAGAACTGAAGGGCAACAGTGATACGTTCACGTTGCAAGAGGGCCTCAACAAATTGTCAGAGTGGTCCATAGAATGGATGGTCCCGATTAATGTAGCAAAATGTGCAACCATGCGCATCGGACAAGCAAGCACGATCTCCTACGAACTAGAGGGAATAACACTTTGGTCAGTTCAGACTCACTTGGACTTAGGTGTTATAGTTAGCCAAGACTTCAAAACTACAGCACACTGTCGCGCGGTGGCTGCACGTAGTTTCAGGTCCTTATGGGCAATTCGCAGAGCATTTACTAGAATCACCAGAGGTATGTTCACCTCCTTATATACATCTCTGGTGAGATCAAGACTGGAAAACTGCATCCAGGCCGCCAGTCCTTGTCTAAAAGGGGACTCATACGCTCTAGAAAGTGTTCAAAGGAAGGCAACACGTATGGTTCACGGCATAGCTAACTTATCATACGAGGACGGACTAGGCAGTTTAAATCTCTTCTCCCTGTCATACGGTAGGCAGAGAGAAGATTTAATCACAATGTTTAAAATTCTAAATAATGACTACGGACCTGATCTATTCTCTTTTTTCCTTCCCACCAGGTCGGAACACCTTAGAGGACATAGCAGGAGAGTTCAAAAGCCAAGAAGAAATCATATTGAGATGATAAATACACGAAAGTCAACTAAACTTTTTAGTGTGTTGAGAATGATTAAAGAGAAAATTTGCATAAAGAAATAAAGACAAATGCATCAGGATAATCTGAGCTCATGTTTCTCTTTTTACCATTGTGTGGATTTTTCTCAACTGAACAACAACCAACCTGAACAATACCAAATTTATAAATTAAACTAAATTAAATTAAAGATCTGAACATACTGTTTTACACAATGATAATGAGTTATTGATTGGAAGCGAGAGTAACATTTGTCAGGAATGATGCAGTAGGTTGTCGAATAATTAAGAGGCAAAACGATCGACTGTTTAGAGAAGAGTTGCATGACTTTAGCTTGAAAGCAGAGTTGAACATATGCTTTGTGAGTAGAGATAAAGTTTAACTAGAAGCAGTATAAAAAGAGTAACAGATTAGGTTAGGTTACATAACCACGGAAAAACACGTCTTTGTGAAGTAGACAAAAGGGCGAGCAGAAGGGTAGGGTGAGTCATGTTTAGACGAAGAAGTCAAGTTTTCTTAACAGGACAGAAGATGACGTGGTGAAATTTGTGTGCTTTGTTATCACCAAGACAGTGCGAGATTCACAACTGTCTCTTTCTGTGTACATGTATTTAGTTTTAGCCGTTTGACGATGTTTATTGCCTCAGCAAAATGAAGCAAGCTAGGCTTCGTTTGTCTGTTGATTGATTATTTCAAACGCCTTCAGACTGAACATAACATGTCTAGTGTCTAGTAGATGGCGTGCAAGCAATCACACTATTTAATGCTTTTGGGCCCTTTAGTCTCACGTTCTTTGGTATGTATTCAGCGATGCGGACAACAACACTTCTGTCTCTCTTTTTAATGTTTATGTACAGGTAAATTGGCAGACGCAGTTGGAGGTAGGTAACATGAGGTGGGAGTTTGTCCACATTTGACTGTCTTAAACAATAGGTCGTTTGATGAACACATACAAACTTAGCAGCTGGATATATTCTTTTCAGGGCAGCGTTCAGTCTGCATCTTATTCTACTGGCAGTATCGTCACCTTTGAAGCCGAGCTGTAAAAGATGGGGTTTTTCTCTACTGTGCCGTACTTCACCTTCTCAGGACTACGCTTTCCATGTTAGTCGATGAACTTCTGTGGGTAACCATTATCACGCAGGCATTTTTCAACAGTAGCTACTTCTTCCTTCACCTTTTCTTCTGAACAAAGCTTCTTTACACGACCAAACAGTGTTCTCACCAATCCCTTTTTGTAACTTATGGATAGAAGCATTTTAAGTCCACGTAAATCACCCTCCAAGTCTCCTTTCTATAGGTGTACCTCGTGATTTTCCCATATTTATCACGTTCGATGCCAGGTGGAAACAGTGAAACCTGTTCTCATCTTCACATCACTCCATTTTAAACTTCATACTGGTACGAGCACTACTCAGCACGTTTAATATTTGAGATGTGTCATTATAACGATCACAAATTGTAGACGTCTCATCGACATACCTGGTACAGAAGTCTGTCTGATCGATTGCGACCTTCATTTTTGTTTGTTCCAGGTTTCCCATAAAATGTCAATTATACAATGTTATGCACCCACAAACAACGCAGACCTCGAAAAGAAAGAAGAATTCTACAGACAACTACAGGCAGCAATGGACAATTCTCCAGCTGGTGATATTAAAATACTAATGGGAGACATGAACACCAAACTGGGACCAGACAACACAGGAAGGGAACTCATCATGGGTACAGCGAACCAACCAAGAACCGATTGTGCAAGAAATAGGCAGGAAGAAATGGAGATGGATTGGCTGGCCATACTCTGACAAAACAAACCATCAAGTGACATCACTAGACAAGCCATTGCTCGAGTGGAACCCGAAAGGGAAACGGCGAATCGGTCGTCAGAGCAGGGGTGACTTGGAGGAGGTCATGTAAGGAGGAGATGAAGGCATGTGGGCAGACTTGGAGCGGGGTGAAAAAGTTGGCAGAAAACCAAAGGCAATGGAGACGCACAGCTGAAGCCCTGTTCCTCTAGGAATTAAAGGATATAATAATATATAAATATATATATATATGCATATGTCTCTTTGAGTACGCAGAAGTCCGCAGAATTCCTTCCTTCCTAACTTTTAAAATGTCTAATATAAACATATATTTTTCTTTCACGACGATATCACTCGATAATACACCGAAAGAAAGACTCTAGATGTTAAGAATGACGCGGCCTAATGAACAGCCAAAGAAAAGTGTCCAGATAACAATCAGAGTTCTATTTTTTTGTTATACAGAAAAGTTCATGCATTTATGATTTATTTATTTATTGTAAGAATCGTTACAATGTGTGTGAAATAAATACATAAAAGACAATTTTTGCCTTTGCAAATTTCAGAAAGACCAAGTAGTAGTTGTTGCTGTTTGTTGTACAGAAGAATTGAAACATCATGCCATCTCCAGTTGTTTGGGTGGTCTGTGTTCCGCATTAGCTTTCACCTTGTCAATCATCCACTTGATACTACTGCTTATTCCCTCCCTATTAGGAAGAAGAAGAAGAAGAAGAAAGATGAACAAGCATAGATATGGGAGCAGTAAATAGAGAAGGAAGGTGATTCATAACTCAAGAGGATGATGTCAGACAGTGGTTTTCATGACATCAAGAATGACTGAAAAGCACCTCCGTGTAGCCGTGATAATTAATTTGTGACAGTTAATAATCTATTGCAAGTCAGTCTTAATTAGAGATAGATAACGTTACAAGAGCACGAATCTGCAAAAAAATGCAGTCATGAGACTTTCCTTTCCGACAAGACTTCGCGTCTGTCGAGTATTTCGCTTCTGAGATATCCCTACTGTCTTCATTGAAAAATAACACTACCACAATAACAATAATAAATAGTAATGGCGTGATGAAAATGTAAGCAAGTACCTTACACCTATCGTCTACTAACACGAATATTGACTTATGTGTGCCATTAACTCTCAGTCTCCTTCCCACCTAAGCTAATTACAGCGAAAATGATCAACTCTGATAAGAACTCTTATCCATCAGAGAATGAAATGAGAAGTAGGCTGACACACTGAACTAACCACTAAGTCGTCAAGTGGTTGGTTAATGTGTGCGCGCGTTGTATTCTAAAGTGGTATGTTTGTTCATCATGTTCATCAAAGATTTCATGAGAAAAATGACCAGTACATAGTCGTTGAGTGTCTACCCGATAAGATAATCCCATGGACTGCACAGATATGAACTGATGCTAGCACCCATTCTAGTCTTTCGTGTTTTCTTAATGTTTTCCTTAAATGAGCAAGAGTCACATGGTTAAATCAGATTACAACATGATTAAAGTTCCAGTTATCTCCGACGGACCATTGTACAGAGATCCTGATCATGCACGAAACAACAGACACAGAAGACTTATAAGCGAAATCCCCGGCATAGTTACAAACCCAAATAGAAGACGTCAAGCTTTCTCAGTGCTCTAGTTGGCGTGTCCTGTGGCTTTTTCTGGAGTAATGTGCTGTGTAGGATTATACCTGGCTGAACGTCTTAGTTTTCACTATCAATACTGACTGACAACACAGAGTCCAGGCTGAGATGTAGTTGAAACACAGGTGACTACAAGATGACAACCATAATTGACATATCTTCATGTTTTAATGACTGATAACCGTTCAGTAAGTATTAAATACGTTTGGTCTGTAATTTAATTTGCTGTACCTAATATCGCCCCCATAAACGGCTACGTAGGTCCAAGTGTAGGTGACCACGCATCCACAGCCTCTGCTGGGTGGTTAGTTCTATTCACTGACTTAACGTGGCAAGGGTGTTCCTCACAAATAAGAGAAAGGGTGAATCCCAACCGATCTGGTGGACATGACGTTCTGTCTACCTAGAGGGACTGCAAAACCGTGATCACAAACCTCATATGATGTACACGGGTTGCAGAATGCGAAAAAATCGGATGGCGTATGAGCCTGTTTTGGTTACCGGAAACAATGGGAACGTAGCTTTCGGCGTTGTCAGACTGTCTTGTAGATCAGACGTCAGGTGAAAGTCTCGCGGGGAAATGGGTGGTGGTGGCGACGGCGGGTTAACTCTTCAAGACAACCATCTGCTTCGGTATGAGGGTGTCCGAGAAATATCCCAGCCTCCTAACAAACTATACGATTTTTGTGGTGCCCATAATACTAGGCTTCTTGGTCCGACTGTGGTTAACACTTGATTGTTCTGATGCTTTCTACGAAGCAGTACCGTATTTCGCTTTGAATAAATCAAAATATTGATCGCCTAATGTTTTTTGATTCATGTGCGTCAGTTTGGGAAAAGAATATGACTTTTCAAAAAGTTTTTGACCGCTCAACATGGTGGTATAAGATTGAAAAATATATCTTCAAAGGGTGCTAGTTTGACACTATGATGCTTTGTTTTATGTCGATTATTCGTAAAAATGTGTTTTTTATGAAAAGTTTCGAAAAATAATACTGACAAGATTTCGACTGTTTGACTTACCCGTTGAGTGCACTAACACCATGAAATGTACACTGACGTTGCCCGAACAAACGCAAACTATCATAAAAGATTTTGTTGATTTCAGAAAGATGGAATGCATTCTAAACAAATAAAGGAATCCAACTTTCACTATATCACTTGATAATGAAATGATAAATACACGAAAGTCAACTAAACTTTTTAGTGTGTTGAGAATGATTAAAGAGAAAATTTGCATAAAGCAATAAAGACAAATGCATCAGGATAATCTGAGCTCATGTTTCTCTTTTTACCATTGTGTGGATTTTTCTCAACTGAACAACAACCAACCTGAACAATACCAAATTTATAAATTAAACTAAATTAAATTAAAGATCTGAACATACTGTTTTACACAATGATAATGAGTTATTGATTGGAAGCGAGAGTAACATTTGTCAGGAATGATGCAGTAGGTTGTCGAATAATTAAGAGGCAAAAACGATCGACTGTTTAGAGAAGAGTTGCATGACTTTAGCTTGAAAGCAGAATTGAACATATGCTTTGTGAGTAGAGATAAAGTTTAACTAGAAGCAGTATAAAAAGAGTAACAGATTAGGTTAGGTTACATAACCACGGAAAAACACGTCTTTGTGAAGTAGACAAAAGGGCGAGCAGAAGGGTAGGGTGAGTCATGTTTAGACGAAGAAGTCAAGTTTTCTTAACAGGACAGAAGATGACGTGGTGAAATTTGTGTGCTTTGTTATCACCAAGACAGTGCGAGATTCACAACTGTCTCTTTCTGTGTACATGTATTTAGTTTTAGCCGTTTGACGATGTTTATTGCCTCAGCAAAATGAAGCAAGCTAGGCTTCGTTTGTCTGTTGATTGATTATTTCAAACGCCTTCAGACTGAACATAACATGTCTAGTGTCTAGTAGATGGCGTGCAAGCAATCACACTATTTAATGCTTTTGGGCCCTTTAGTCTCACGTTCTTTGGTATGTATTCAGCGATGCGGACAACAACACTTCTGTCTCTCTTTTTAATGTTTATGTACAGGTAAATTGGCAGACGCAGTTGGAGGTAGGTAACATGAGGTGGGAGTTTGTCCACATTTGACTGTCTTAAACAATAGGTCGTTTGATGAACACATACAAACTTAGCAGCTGGATATATTCTTTTCAGGGCAGCGTTCAGTCTGCATCTTATTCTACTGGCAGTATCGTCACCTTTGAAGCCGAGCTGTAGAAAGATGGGTTTTTTCTCTACTGTGCCGTACTTCACCTTCTCAGGACTACGCTTTCCATGTTAGTCGATGAACTTCTGTGGGTAACCATTATCACGCAGGCATTTTTCAACAGTAGCTACTTCTTCCTTCACCTTTTCTTCTGAACAAAGCTTCTTTACACGACCAAACAGTGTTCTCACCAATCCCTTTTTGTAACTTATGGGATAGAAGCATTTTAAGTCCACGTAAATCACCCTCCAAGTCTCCTTTCTATAGGTGTACCTCGTGATTTTCCCATATTTATCACGTTCGATGCCAAGGTGGAAACAGTGAAACCTGTTCTCATCTTCACATCACTCCATTTTAAACTTCATACTGGTACGAGCACTACTCAGCACGTTTAATATTTGAGATGTGTCATTATAACGATCACAAATTGTAGACGTCTCATCGACATACCTGGTACAGAAGTCTGTCTGATCGATTGCGACCTTCATTTTTGTTTGTTCCAGGTTTCCCATAAAATGTCTGCGATAGTCGGAGCCAGCGGACTTCCAATGCGACTTCATCAATTTGGCGGTACCGAACATTATTAAATTGAAACTATATATATGCTTGCCACATATTAGCAGCAGTTATCTGAATCCATTCTTCGGCAGAAGAATGAGACAGTTGTGAATCTCGCACTGTCTTGGTGATAACAAAGCACACAAATTTCACCACGTCATCTTCTGTCCTGTTAAGAAAACTTGACTTCTTCGTCTAAACATGACTCACCCTACCCTTCTGCTCGCCCTTTTGTCTACTTCACAAAGACGTGTTTTTCCGTGGTTATGTAACCTAACCTAATCTGTTACTCTTTTTATACTGCTTCTAGTTAAACTTTATCTCTACTCACAAAGCATATGTTCAACTCTGCTTTCAAGCTAAAGTCATGCAACTCTTCTCTAAACAGTCGATCGTTTTTGCCTCTTAATTATTCGACAACCTACTGCATCATTCCTGACAAATGTTACTCTCGCTTCCAATCAATAACTCATTATCATTGTGTAAAACAGTATGTTCAGATCTTTAATTTAATTTAGTTTAATTTATAAATTTGGTATTGTTCAGGTTGGTTGTTGTTCAGTTGAGAAAAATCCACACAATGGTAAAAAGAGAAACATGAGCTCAGATTATCCTGATGCATTTGTCTTTATTGCTTTATGCAAATTTAATAATGGGAAGAAATGAATGAAAGTTTCAACAAAATTTTTATTAGTGAAATTTCTGATTTCATTGTGGTTAACAAGAATGTACCTCACAGAGTGTTTGCGTTCACAGTGAATCCAGAACAAAATCCTGCTGACTGAGGGGTGGGTGGGCGGTGGCTTATGACAAAGTTAACAGAAATAACCACAAATAAAATGAGGTCCTTTCCGAGATATTCAGACTCAGTGGTAACCTCTCTGATTGCACCACTAGGTGACGCGGGTTCGAATCTCGTAAGGGACATAAGTTCCTTCAAGGTTGCAGATACACCTTGCTGACACACAGGTGAGTGCCAACTAGCAGGAAACTCAGGTCAAGTAAGGCCTCCTGCTGACTGCTTCCAACAAACTAATACTAAAATGAGGTTCGTCGATTCTGTCACATTAGCTAACAAAAACAGACAAATAAGAATGTAATCAATAAAGACTGAATGCCACTATTTGTATAGTTCAAGGTCAACTTACATGACTAAAATAGTTGTGAAACTCTGACTGACTGCCTGATTGATTGACCTATCAACAGAGTTTACACAATAGGAATTACAATTTCAATTCACGGACTGAGTTTCGACATAGAAACTTTGCAGAGAAGTGCAACAGTTCAAGTTGCCGTACACACACAACGTCAAAAAAAATTCAAAATCATAATTAATTGAAATGTACTGGAGAAGGAATAAGAATATGGGGAGTATTGAGGACCTGATGGATCTAAGAGTTCATAAACAGTAAATCCAGCTTCGCTGTTAAGAATGATTTTGAGCCATTACACCAGTAGTCTTAAGGCATTGGTTCCTAGCACTCAGCCAGATAGTTTATACCTTCTTCATGGCTGGTGCAAACCAACTGTTAGAGACTTCATGGATTGATGTCAGGTTCTGGTTTGACCACCTCCCAACTCTTTTCCAGCCTACTTATATATCAACTACCACAGCTAGTCGAGGAAGGCGGTGGTCTGGCATGCAAAACATATAGCTTCACGAATTCTTTGGTTGACTTGCCCTAGTTACTTAACACTACACCTAACCTGCTGAGACTTCGACAGCAACCAGTCTATTGACTGACTGGCTAGCTTCAACATAGAACTTTGCGCAGATGTGCAGAAGTTCGAGTTGCAACACTCTCCCCTTGTAGCACACAAAACAAGAGGAGAAAGATTCAAGAGAGACGATAAACAGAGATATGAGGCAAAAAGAATAGTGAGTCACAAGGAATGGATGCATCTGAACTATTGAGAATGATTTTGAGCCATATCACCAATTGTCTCCAGTCATTGGTTTTTAACATCCGGAGGACCCCAAACCAGGAAGTCTACACCTTTTTTTATATGGATTAAAATAACTTGTGGATTTCTTTGACTGATCAAGCCATGTTTTCGTTTGACCACCACTAGCTCTTTTCCATCCTGATCCATCCTACGCCAGCTAACAGTGCTCAAAGTCGACGAAGGCGATGGATGGCTAGGCATGCAGGCGTAGCACGTATCTTAACCATCTCAATCGATGTAACTTCATAACCTCGTCAACTGATTTCCCTTCCCCTCCTTACCTAGCACTCGATCGATACCTCGCCTCCATATTGTTCAACCTATTATACCACTTCAAACGGGAGATAGAACGCAGACACCTATGATCAAAGACAGTTAGCCTAGATTTTCACATCTTCCACTTTTCATGGCCATGTCTCACAGTCATAAAGGAGGCTGGAGCAAACTGCTCAGCAATACACACGCCCTTTGGCCATTAGACAGCCGGATATCACATCTACGCCACAGATGACGTAACTTGGCTAACAAATACCGAATGAACCTTCGGTATCCGTGTTGAAATTTCGTCAGCAATCAACCGGCTGGCGTTGGCTGACGCCACTTCCCAAATAAGTGAACTGGTCAACACGCGCCACAAACCACTTCAGTCCCTATCTCTAAACTAGAAGTCAATGTAGTCTAATCCAGTCCTGTAGCATCACCTTATATTTGACGGCACGAGCGAATTGCATGTCAAACAGTCAAAGATTGCAGCTCAAGGTGTTCAGAAGACCCTACACTTTGTCAGCGTCTTTACCTAGGAGGGAGGACTATATAATCTGCATATTCCAAGTCAACGAGATTATTTCCAGGTAACAAGTCAATCCCTGAGTCTCTGAAGTCAGTTAGGGTTAAGTCCACTAGTACATCGATGATTCAATTGAACAGAAATGAGGACAGTGGACATTCCTGGGGACACCATCAGTTGTCACTACTTCAGATGACAACTCTCCGTAGGCCTTTACCTGGTTGCATGAACTCCAGTGGAGTGCCTTGATTAGTGCGATGTATTTTCTTGGCATTCACTTTACAACCAAGCATCACCAGAGTACATCTTGGCCGACAGAATCGAATGCCACTTTCAGGTCAAGAAATATAACGATTGTTGGACGTCGACGGTTAGTATGCGTATGTTCCAGAATCTGTCAAAGGGTAAATATACGATCAATACACCCTCTTCCTGGTCTAAAGCCTGCCTGGCTCTCTCGTGTTTCTGCCTCCCGAGCACCACTTAGTCTACGCATGATTATTGAGCCTAGAACTTTAGATACTATATTAGTCAAGCTAATCCCTCTGTGATTATCACAGGAAGACTTGTCTCCCTTCATGTATATGGGACTTCTTTTGATTCCCAAACGCTGCCTAGAACCTCAGCTAATGCAGACGGTAAACTGTCTCCACCATACTTAAATACCTCTGGAGTCATTCCATCAGGTTCCACTGCTTTGCATTGTTTCAGATTGGTGACAAGTTTTTTAACCTCAGTTAGGGACGGAGGACCTGTGTCTATATTCCTTTCAGGGAGGTGTTAGATGCTGGGTAAGTTGAGTGTGGCTGTAGGCCAATTAAATTGCTCCTAAAAGTGTCCTTCCCAAAGTTCTAACCGTCTATCCTGAGAGCTAATTATGGTGTCATTTAAGTCGGAGATTGTTTCACTTATCATTTGCATTTTACCACCTGTCTCCCTGATAAGTTTAAATAGTTTTCTGGTGTTGTCTATCACCGATGCCTTTTCCATCTATTTTGCTTTTGTCGCCCACCAGTGCTCACGGTTGTCACGAAAGCTTCTTGTTAGTTTTCGTTTGAGCAGCTTTCGCTCCTCATCATATTCGGAGCTCGCCGGAATCAGTCTTCTTGCGTTAATTAGTTCGGATGAGGTGATAGAAATCCACTGGCTTGTACTAACTTTTGGTTTTAGGTCTCTTAGGGTTGATGCGACTTCCTAAAGCGGTTAACATATTCAGTTACTTTACTACCTTTCTTCAAACTAGCAGTCAGTGAGTGCAGCCTGCATCATCTTACACTTGACAGGGTCGAATTGCATGCTAAATATATCAAGATTTCCATCCAAGGTGTTCAGAAGACTTTGTAATTTGTCAATGTCATCACCTAAAAAGACTACATTAACAAGACTGTTGTTCCCTAGTAATAAGTCAGTCGCTAATTCGTTAAATTTGATTACAATGACATCCATTAGTACACCAAATATAGAGACAGTAGGCATGAAACTTGTCTGGTTTTCATAAAATTCGTGAATTTTACAAACTGTGAATTTGACTTCTTAATAAAATGTTAATCAGGCTGATCTTCGTACACAATTATCACAAGAAGACTTGTTTCCCTTTTTATTTTAAATTGAGATAATCAATAATTTTCGCCAGCCCTTGACATCACGTTCTAGAACAGATAGTTAACTGATTGTAATTGTGTAAATGATGGTCATATAGCTGTGTATCTGCTGGTAGGGAACTTTATGCATCAATAACCCTAATGCACTCATCGCACAGATCAATTAACTTCCCAACAGAAATATTAAAATTACCTGCTGAAGGAAATTTATCTAATCGAAAAGCTCGACAGCTTCTACTAAATCTCATGCTTTGATTGATCAACTTAGTGGGCGTGAAAGCAGTTATTATGATAAGACACTGACGATTATCACAATCCTCCCCGTATGCTGACGTATCCCTATTCAGCTGGACAGTGCACAGACGACTGTCCGCCGGAATCCAATCGAGTACAAAATTTTCTATTCCGGAGTTTAAATACACCAAGCAGTCCAGAAGAACGATATAGTCTTTCTAGGCGAAGACGCTGGCAAAATGCAGAGTCTTTTGAACACCTTGAGCTGCAATCTAAGAATATTTGGCAAGCGATTCGCTCCCGCCAAATGCAAGATGATGTTACAGGATTGAATTGAACTACACAGACTCCTAGTTTAGAAATAGGGAGTGAAGTTGTAGAGCACGTTGACCGCTTCACTTATTTGGGAAGTACCATCAGCCAGTGCCAATGGGTTGATCTCTGACGGATACAGAGGGTTAGTTTCGCACATGCCAGTTTACGCCGTCTCCGGCGTAGACGTGATATCCGGCTGGCTATCGACCAAAGGGCGGGTGTACTTCTCAGAAGTCCGCTCAGTCCCCCTTTATGGCTATGAGTGAGACTTGGCCATTGAGAGTGGAAGACATGAAAAGCCTGGTTGGCTGTCTTTGATGCTGTCTTAGGTGCCTGCGTTCTATCTACCGTGTTAAATGGCATAATAAGGTGAGCAATATTGACGTTAGGTGTCGAGTGCTAGGTAAGGAGGGGACATCAATCGATGAGGCTGTGGAATTACATCGACTGAGAGAGTTGGTTAGGACATGTGTTACCTATGCCTAGTCATCGCCTTCCTCGACGGGGAATGTTAGCTGACATAGGATTGGTCAGGCTGGAAAAGAGCTAGCGGCGTTCAAATCAAAACATGGCACCAGTCAATGAAACCCAATACAGTTAGTTTAAGTCAGCTACGTGGAGGTGTAGACTTCCTGGTTGGGGTCCCCGGGATGGTAAAAAGCAATGGTTGGAAACTATTCGTGATATGGCGCAAAGTGATCGTTCTCAATGGTTGGCGCAGATGCATCCACTCCTTGTGATTTATGATCTCCAATGAAACTGTTTCGTTCTTCGTTATTACTCTTCCTTTGTCTCACACCTCTGCTTACCGTCTCTATTATGCTTTTCTTGTAGTTTCTTCTCTTGCTTCGTGTGCTACATGGAATGTGGCGACTTGAACTTCCGCACATATGTGCAAAGTTCTATGTCGAAAAGAGACAGACGTAAAAACAAAACCAACCATAGTAAACGATAATGATTTGTATATAATCATAGTATGACCGAAACATTGCTTTCCAGCAGTTTACTAAACTTTGCTTTTATTCTATTTTCTCCATTGTTGTAGTGTTGTGATCACATAGTTTATCAACAAATCCTACCTTTCAAGTTACAAAGATAATCTCAGCGTGATTATCAATCAATTATTTGATACTAAATTTGTTATGTACACACTATTACGTGGTTTGTGGCGTTATCTATCACAAAAGGATGAATTTTCTGTCCTAATATTGGGATTAGATGGTGCCGGGAAAACAGTAATTCTCTGAATGTTTTTGTTTTTATAAATAAAAATAAATAAAAAAATGAATTCAGACGTATCTAGAGCAAGCTAAGATAAATTTTGTTCCAAATTACAAATCAATTCCAATGCAAAAGATTACCACTACTGTCGGTTTAAACAGTTTTATTTTATTATTTTTTTTCTCATACACTTTTATATATTCTTCACAGTTGGATTTATCGAGGTTGATGATATACGACTTAAGTTGTGGGATCTTGGTGGGCAAGAGGAACTTCAGTCCTTATGGGACAAGGTTAGCATAAATTCTCACTTTTCACAATACTTAATCAGTATTATGCTGAGTCAAACGGTATTATATTTGTCGTTGACTCTGCAGATTCTGAACGTTTTGAGGAATCAAGAGATGCTTTTGGTAAGTGTGTTTTCACTATTATTATTATTATGATTATTCCACTTAGATAAAATGGTTAGGAATCCTGTACTGGATGGTGTACCTTTACTTGTTTTGGCCAATAAACAAGATCTGAAGGTATGTCAGTTGTTAATGATTTTTTGTTGTCATTGCTGTTGTTCTGAAAAACAAAAATAAAGCTATAGGAACCAAAATGAAAGCCGACGTGAACATTGTTTTATATAAGAAGATATTTTTCGGTTTTTTGTTTTTATTTTCATCATAATCCACTTAGGAGATGAAATACAGTTCAAACTTTCAGTGCTGTCCTATATAATAGCTCATTACATAGCCCCCCAACCTACAGGTGTAAAGAAATCTTATGACTAGTTCTTCTGTCCATCTGTTTTCGACATAGAACTTTGCACATATGTGCGGAAGTTCAAGTCGCCACATTCCATGTAGCACACGAAGCAAGAGAAGAAACTACAAGAAAAGCATAGTAGAGACGGTAAGCAGAGGTGTGAGACAAAGGAAGAGTAATAACGAAGAACGAAACAGTTTCATTGGAGATCATAAATCACAAGGAGTGGATGCATCTGCGCCAACCATTGAGAACGATCACTTTGCGCCATATCACGAATAGTTTCCAACCATTGCTTTTTACCATCCCGGGGACCCCAACCAGGAAGTCTACACCTCCACGTAGCTGACTTAAACTAACTGTATTGGGTTTCATTGACTGGTGCCATGTTTTGATTTGAACGCCGCTAGCTCTTTTCCAGCCTGACCAATCCTATGTCAGCTAACATTCCCCGTCGAGGAAGGCGATGACTAGGCATAGGTAACACATGTCCTAACCAACTCTCTCAGTCGATGTAATTCCACAGCCTCATCGATTGATGTCCCCTCCTTACCTAGCACTCAACACCTAACGTCAATATTGCTCACCTTATTATGCCATTTAACACGGTAGATAGAACGCAGAAACCTATGATCAAAGACGGCTGATCTTTTCATGCCTTCCACTCTCAGTGGCCAGGTCTCACAGCCATATAGGAAGACGGAGCGGACTGATGAACAGTATTTGCTTTTACGAGTTGATCACGGATTGATATCAGTTGGAGAACCATTGAAAAAGCAGTACTAGAGTACTGGACGGGTGTGTCTTCGGCGTAGTTTGAGAATCATCGGCAGTATGCACGCACTACACGGGTTCGAGCCCAGGACCTTCAGGTTACAAGGCAAGCTAGCTCGTATACCATTCAGCTACTGGGACCCACCTGACTCAATAGCCAGTGTGTGAATTCTAACTTCGACCAATTCGTCATTTACATCATTGCACATATAAAAAACAAAACTAGAACCCTTTTGCATCAAGTACTTAAAGAGTTGCGGGGGATCCTACACATGACCAATAACTGAGAAATCATCCTTCCTTAAGTTTATTAATACAAGAAGTTTTTCATGAAGAATCGCTATACCTAACACTTATTTTCTGTATTATCACTGCATACGTTGAATGATCAGTGTCAACACCTGTTACTTTCGAGGAACGACAACTCTGTATATGTTTGTCAAGAGATGAAGGACAATAAAAAACAGACTAAATAAGCAGTTGGAAATTATCGTCAATGGGAGATGACAGAAGAGAGGCACAGGGAATAATTCATTGGATTTCCCATTCACAAGTGGAAATAATGATCACCTTTTAAAAAGACAGAAACAGTCAGTGTTCAAGTTAGACTTTTCAAATAAACTGTGTATCTTTAACAAAGTGTCTCTCTGTCTGTCTGGTTTCAACGTACAACTTTGCACAGATATGCAGCGATTCGAGTCGCCACAATTCATTCAGTACACAAAGCCAGAGAAGAAGAAAGTAAAAAGAAATGCAAACTAGGGACAGTAAACAGATATGTGAGGCAAAAAGAACAGTAATATCGAAGAACAATACAGTTTTATTGGAAATTATGAATCAAAAAGTGTAACCAAATCCAAAGTTTGCTACAAACACAATTTATATATCACTGCTTCGTGTTACTAGGCATGAGCTACAGAAAACATGCCAAGAAGTTGACAGTAGTCCACAGCCCTCCTTGAGGCAACTTTAAGTTTACTTAGAGAATTGAAGTTACTGCGAAACGATGACCATCCTCCTGGATGTCCATGTTTCAATTAGCGATTCAAAATTGGATAGATTTAGACTACAGGAGATGAAAAAAAACTAGTACCCGAGATCTTTTCGGTAGTAAAGATTCAAAGTTAGATAATTCTAAACATCCACTGAGCGTGAACAGAAAAGGTATTAAGCTGTTACGTTGTTGGTTGTAACTAACTTAAATAGAAACGACCAAGATATGACTGACTAAAATATCTAGACATTATAGCTTCTCAGAAGATATGACTCGGATTCCATATTAGCGACGATGAAGAAATGCAAAAGACTGAGCAATTAAACATCTAAAGAACATTTCATCTACACAACCTGAGAAAACGGACAAATATGACTATGGATCATGTGACCTGCTTTCAGCCAAAATTAAAAGGACAAGACATTCATATTGTAGATTCTTCGTCTTGGCTAAATTTGAAATAACTATTGGATAATCTAAAAGTATATAATCTGATTATGGCAGTCTACCGACACAGATAATTAGATTGCTGGAACACAAGGAATTATAACTATTTGTGTGTACACACTAATGCTATCTTGAGATAGTCAGCCGGCTAGCATATCAAAATGACCAAACTTTCCAAGAGTGCAATGGCAAAAGGCAGGTTGGGTAGCGATAAGGATAAGCGCGATTATCGCTCACTGTATGGTCGCAGTTTGAGGGCGAAGTTTTGGTGTTAGCCGACAAACGTATGACAGCAGCGATTGTCACAGGCAGCTGGGAAACCGCTGCCACTATCTTCCAAGTTTGGGAAATAGTTAGAAAATTCCGACCCAGAAAGATGCACATCACGAATTACTCTGCAGCAGTCCCCAGCTGAAGGTAAGGTATACTGTGCGAGCGAAACTCCACTTGCCAGCAGATAGCGTGAACGGACTCAACCAGTCGCTCCCAGAATATTGAAGTCACACATGCGTCGGGAGGCTCTTGATGAGATAAATGCGGACGGAGGACTCCTTCAGACGTCAATGGTTTGGTAACTGGAGGCAGCATGTACAAGCAGAAGGATATACACAAGGTCAGAGACATGGATTTCGCCTGACGGACACACCTAAAATCAGATACACTTCATCCTAATGTTGATCATAAATAGACCACATAGCAATAAGCTATCGTTGGCGTGGGTCGGTAGGAGATTGTCGCTCCTTCTGGAACACGTGCGTAGATACCGACCATGCACTGGTCCGCGCTCGGGTGTGCTTACGACTGAACGGACGTAGGAAACAGCTGGCGGTAAAACCATCACGTCCCCAGCTCGATCAGGAAACTAAATCCGTATTTCAGGAAGAACTAGCTAAACACATATCTGTGTTCGACAGCTGTGCTCACCCTGAAGAAGCTTGGAAAAATATCCAGGCAGCCATAGATACAGCTGTAAAAGCTGTGAATAAGGTAAACCCAAAGGTGAGTAAAAACCACTGGATCTCCACCGCCTCATCCGAACTGATAGATGCTAGAAGACTTATTCCGGCGAGCTCCGAATTCAATGAGGAGCGAAAGCTGCACAAGAGGAAACTTACGAAAAGTCTCCGCAAGGACCGTGAACAGTGGTGGGCGACAAAAGCCAAAGAGATGGAGAAAGCTTCGAGGATAGGCAACACCAGGCAACTCTTTGGACTCATCAGGGAAACGGGTGGGAGAAGACAAATCATCAGTGAGACAATCTCGGAAAAAAATGGCACTATAATTAGCTCACAGGATAGACGACTGGATCGTTGGAAAGAGCATTATGAGGAGCAGTTTAATTTGCCCACAGCCACGCTCAACCTTCCGAGCATCCAACACCTCCCTGAATGGGATATAAACACAGGTCCTCCGTCACTAACTGAGGTTACTAAAGCTGTCACCAATCTGAAACTAGGCAAAGCAGCGGGACCTGATGGAATGACTCCAGAGGTATTTAAGTACGGTGGAGACAGCTTACTGTCCGGATTAACTGAGGTACTAGGCAGCGTCTGGGAATCAGAAGAAGTCCCATCGGGTTGGTGTAAGTCACTGATTATCCCCATATACAAGAAGGGAGACAAGTCTTCCTGTGATAATCACAGAGGGATTAGCTTGACTAATATAGTATCTAAAGTCTTAGGCTCAATAATCATGCGTAGACTGAGTGGTGCTCGGGAAGCACAAACACGAGAGAGCCAGGCAGGCTTTAGACCAGGAAGAGGGTGTATTGATCATATCTTCACCCTCCGACAGATTCTAGAACATAGGCATTCCTACCGGCGTCCAACAGTCATTATATTTCTTGACCTAAAGGCAGCATTCGACTCTGTCGATCGGGAAGTTCTCTGGAGATGCTTGGCTGTAAAGGGAATTCCAAGAAAATATATTGCACTGATTAAGGCACTCTACTCGTACTCATACAGCCAGGTGAGGGCTTACGGCGAGCTGTCATCTGAACTGATGACGACCAGTGGTGTCCGTCAAGGATGCCCATTATCTCCTTTTCTATTCAACTTCATCATAGATGTGTTAATGGACTTAACCCTAGGTGACTTCAGCGACTCAGGGATTGACTTGCTACCGGGGAATAATCTCGTTGACTTGGAATATGCAGACGATATAGTCCTTCTAGGCGAAGACGCTGACGAAATGCAGAGTCTTCTAAACACCTTGAGCCGCAATCTACGAATGTTTGGCATGCGATTCGCTCCCGCCAAATGCAAGATGATGTTACAGGACTGGACTACATCGACGCCTAGTTTAAAAATAGGAAGTGAAGTGGTAGAGCACGTTGACCGCTTCACTTATTTGGGAAGTACCATCAGCCCCAACGGGTTGATCTCTGACGAAATCTCAGCACGAATACAAGGGGCTCGTTTCGCATTTGTTAGTTTACGCCGACTCTGGCGTAGACGAGATGTTCGACTATCGACCAAAGGGCGGGTGTACTGCTCATCAGTCCGCTCCGTCCTCCTTTATGGTTGTGAGACCTGGCCACTGAGAGTGGAAGACATGAAA